TGCAGTTTGGTCTGGTTTCGTTCTTGGTGTTAGCCAATTTGATGGTATTTTGTTGCTGAGCTACCTACTAGCATATCTTCCTTGGAGTTAGGTTCTAGGCGAAGCAATGGATTCGATCTCTAGTTCTTCTCTTGCGAGGACGTCATCAGCTTTTTGTCTGTAGGTGTGCTGAAGCTGCATTCGACGAGTGTCCGCGTGTAAGAACTGTTGATCTTAATTGGCTTATCTCTAGTCGATTTTCAAGGTTTTTGCCTTGTCCCTAGTGCATTTTGCTATCTCGGTCCGGTTGGTAAGGTGTGATGGTGTTTGTATTTGTGTCTCTCCTATCGGTGGCTTCTTGCTTTCCTCCCTGTCGGTTTTGCTACTGGTTTGACTTCGGTATGAGGTCTATCCGATCTTATTGGTGCTTCCGGCGTTCACAGTTTCTTTGGGGAAGCTTGGTGAGAGTTTCTGGTTTCTTTGCGCAATTTTAGTGTTTAGGTCTTCTTGTTTCCTTAACGGATGATCTTCTTTAGATATATTGTCTCTTTGTTGATGGTCTAAATAGTTTCCCCGTTCTGTTGGGGCTTTGCTTCCCTCTTTTGGGCTAAGTTTCTGGGGACATTTCGTTAGTCCGCCGGCGTTTGTATTTCAACTGGTATTCTACCTTGGGTTCTTAATAAAATTCAGACGACAAAAAAAAAAATATATGAAAGTAGATCAGTTCTTAGGGCTTGATTGGTTCTCCCGCTAGCACCCTCCTAGCGGTTGCTAGCGGTCGGTTGCGGTTGTTAGCGGTTGGTACCAATCATAGAAACCGCTTCATCCCGCTTCGAACCGCTCGAAATCGCTGAATTTCAAAAGCTCCTTCCCGCAAGCGTTTGCGGTTGCGGGCGGTAGCGGCTGGATTAAAAAAAAAAAAAAAAAAAAAAAAAATCAAACATTTACTTATAATTATTATAATATAAATTAATCCTATATATATCTTTAATCTTTGTATCACTTTGTATCACGTTCTCATCAGAAACCCTAATAATATTCTGAAACTCTATTCTCTCAATGTCTTCCACCCAAACTGATGAAAATCAATAACCAAATGTAAGTATCATATATCATTTTATTCATTCATCACCTCATGTGTAACTTTTTGAATATTTTTCATGGCATCGTTTTTTTTATTTTCATTACGTATTGCTTTGCTTTTTGATTGAATATATGTTTCGATTTGTTTTCTCGAATAGAAACTCACTTGCTTTTTGATTGAATTCAACGTTATTTACAGTTTGTCCCATTACTTAATGCAATTTTTTATGTTAAACCAGATGCATAAAGTACTATCTTGTTACAAAATTTCTTTATTTTTGAATAATTATTTAGTACTTTATTTATGGTTTTAATTATTAAGCATGTTCAAATTTTTCTAATATTATCATAATAATATATTGGTGTTTTTCTTTCTTTTTTTTGTAATATTTTTTATTTATTTTGGTCATTTTTTTATTTAACTGCTATCGCACCCGCTGGTTTACCAGTCATAAAACTCCCGCAAACGCACCCATTTTCAAACGCTAAACCAGTCGTTCAAAACGCTTGAAAACGCTTAAAGCCGCAACCGCCCGCTTCCGCAAACTTCCGCAACCGCAACCGCAACCGCTGCGTTTAAACCAGTCAGGCCCTTAATCAAATAGACGGATTTACAATTAAATAAATTAAAGGTTGTATTTTATATACATCCATTATGTTAAGCTTTTGCTCAATTATTTAAAGGTTGTAATCATAGATGATTGTTTTTTAATCCGTCAAGTAATGATATAAAGCCGCTTAGTACTAATTCTTTTGAATAAACTATAGACTAATTATTATTCCCACTTGAATAACATACGTCATTTTTCGATACATATCATATATGAACAAAACCACTGTCCTAGTCTCCTTGATCATGAATATGAATATAAGTCCAAATCCTTAGGAAAGTGACAAAAATTAATTTTGAAAATATTGGAACGTGAAATATATTTAATTTATATGTTTTAAGATAAGTTGGACATTAATTGTTAGTGTTGGATAATTGCATAACTCGACTCATTCATTATTAAGTATTTAAGTTTGTCATCATCTCATGAGCTTTGATATTATATCATTTCTTCGAGAGACAGTACCATCTTTTGAAGCTCAAAGGCATTGCAAATATATTTAATTTTTGCAAGTTTAGGTATTATATCATTTTTCTTTTGCAACGAGAACACATCATTGTTCTTTCATGTCATCATAGTCTTCCTTGTTCATGTATTCTTATGTGGATTTTCAACTCGATCGTGATGAATGTAAAACCTCTTTGAGTACTTTAGCTCATTCTCGGCTTCAATATATGTAACCCTCTTCCATTTCTCTTCATCTATGAGCCTCTTTCGTTTCACATCTAAATAATTTCCATCAATATATACCAACACCAACCAAAGCATTTGCTTCACCTAACTTAGACTCACAATTACACTTCATCACCATATGTTCTTGTTGCAAATACAATCATGAAATTAATGAATTAAAGTTCAAAGTCATTTCAATCTATCAATTAGAAACAATAAATATACATTTGATAGATAAAGACCCTACAAAATCAAGCAACTTAAGAAACATAAGACGACCCATATTTAACACTAAGAGTTACCCGTATTGATATGTGATGTGGAAGATAACTTCTTTTCCAGAAAAGCCAAAACATGAAAAGAAAATTTATGTATCAAAGTAAGCATAAAAGTATATATGCAACACATGCTTCATAAGATACAACCAACAAATGGCATACCCCAAGCTATAGATTGCTAATCAATGATCAAAGCTTTCCTAAGAGTCTATTCCTAATAATTGTTAGAAGCCGAAACCAAACCAAAACCAAAGGATATTACACGGTTTTAGTTTTTATAAAACAAACATAATATAGAAGGATAGTAAATAAGCAAATTGTTTATCCAAACATAAACCGAATACCAAATCGTCTCTCCAAATTCTCGATATCAAACTTAATTAACATACATTTCTAAACTGGTGATTCCAAACTACAACCAAACCGATATACAAATGGATCTTTATGATTTGAGTATTTAGAATAAAACTGACAAAAATATATACAAAAAAATCCAATATCAAAACCAAATTTATAAATTTTCTATTGCATGCATGAGACGGATGAATCATCCGGTAATTAATAAGTAATGTGAATGGTAAAATATGATTAGAACAATCGTAGTGAAAATACATTGTTAATTTGATTTATATAGTTTGGGATACATCCGCTCCTATAATTTGATCAAATGATATGACGCCTAGTATGGCAAACTCTTGAGGAGTTTGTGCCTCTCCGTTAAGGTCCAAGCGAGTCTATATGTAAGGCCATTTGGAGTGTAGCCATGCTGTTATGGGCCAAATGCGGAAAGACATAAATAGTCAGACGAGTGTGTAGCATTAGAAAAACTGATAGATCTGAATCCGACCCAAAACCATGGTTTGATTTAGTTTAGTTTAATCCACACATTTTTCTTAATATTTTTTTGTTTTAAAACCAAATTTTTCTCTTACACATACCATTTTTATATACACTTTAACTATCTATTTCAATTTTATTTTAGATACTTCATCTTATTAATGATATTTGAATTCTAATAAGATAAATTCCCATATAAACCGAAACGGAAACCAAAACCAAAGCAAATTACAAGGTCCCAATACGAAACTAACAAACATGCCACGAGTGCAAATTTTTAAAATGCTCAGGATTAAATATGTAAACAACAAACTCTAACCAGAGTAAGCACCGCTCTCCCTCTTCTCTCTCCCAAATCTTTTAGAGAGAGGGGGCGACTTGTTCTTCTTTTTGGCCGTCCGGTTTGTTATCCGGCTCTTGCCTATCAACTATCGGCTCATATAGCGATGGTTGGATAGTTCTTTGTCTGGCATCGATCGGTTCTCGCGACGATGGCTAGCTTTAGGTTCTCTCCGGCGTAGTCCGATCTTCTCTTCTTTCCATGCTTTCTATCGCGGTACTTTTGCCGTTGATTATTTTCAGTTTTTTCTCTTTGGATCTGTGATGGTGGTAGCGGATTTCGCTCAACAGTGTCTCTTTGCGATTTACGAAAACTATCTATGAGCTTTGCGAATTCAGTTGAAGATATGAAGCACTTTCCTCAGCATATTATCAAATCGCCTTTAGCTGTTAATTGTTTTTAGAGATTCGGTTGGTTTTAATCAACAGTTTCTGGAGTAATTGGATTTATTCTCTTGTTGAGTTTAATTATTCCGATGTATTTCCATGTTGCTGATTTGCTATTGCTGGTGAAAAACAGATGATCTACCGACGATTTACTTACGACGGTGGTTTCTTCACCGGAAAATCGATATCTCCGATGGCGAAGGATGACGATGGGAATCTTTCTTTTGCTCATCTTACACGTGTATTATTACGTGTCTTTGGGTGATCTTTATTGATCCAATCTTCTGCTGTAACGGTGCATTATTGGGCTCTACATGGGCTTGCTTTTGTTTTGTAATCCATTTAGTGTTGGGCTTTCCTTGGCCTTGTAACAAATAAGTTTATTGAATAAAATCCATCATTGAGAAAAAAAAAAAAACCAGAGTAAGCTATCCGAACACGAGCCGTGCGATTGGAATGGCTCGTAGGCTCGTAGCTACTCGCCTAAACAGACACCATTGGAGGTGAATTACGAAATAGGCCCTGCACGTGTACACGTGGCTTTCAACGATTAGTGGTTAGATAAAAGTCAATGGAACTACACTAGGCTATAATGGTCAGATAGAGATTTTTTTTCTGAATTGGGCTTTTACGGGAATGGATAATAAAAAAGAGATGCTCGATCTCCCCAAATTAGAGTAAACCCTAATTGTTTCTGTAGCTTTCTCTCTCTCTCTCTCGCGAAGAAGAAGAAGAAGGAGATCAAGGAACTCCAAGTGTGTGTGTGTTTGCCTTCTCTTGACTTTTAGTTTTTTTCTCTCTTTGGCTGTGATTTCGTCGGCGAAGAGAGACATAGATCGGATATGGCGGCTGATAATACGGGTGCGAAATCCAGCTCCGCTGCGGATTCTTACGTTGGGAGCTTGATTAGTTTGACATCTAAGAGCGAGATCAGATACGAAGGGATCCTTTACAATATTAATACAGATGAATCCAGTATCGGACTTCAAAACGGTACGATTCGTTTCCACTTGCGTTTGATGATTATTAGATTTGTAGTGTTAATTTTGGTGGTGTTTTCTTTCTGATTTGGTAGAAACTCATGGTGTCTTTTGTTAATTCTTGTGAAATTTTTCTCCAATATTGAACTGTTTAGCTCGATTTGAAATATATATATTGTTGTAGTGCTTGGAATTCATTAAAATTAGCTGTTCATGTCTATTACTTGACTTATCATATTGTAATTGATGTCTTGAAACTATTGGTTGAGCATAGAAGATCAGTCTTAAGTGGTCGATGTGGTAGATTTTGGTGAGATTGATACGTTCTGATTCTGGAATTTCTTGTGTGTAGTTCGATCATTTGGAACTGAAGGAAGGAAAAAAGATGGTCCGCAAGTTCCTCCTAGTGACAAAGTTTATGAGTACATATTGTTCCGTGGAACTGATATCAAGGTATCCAGCAGAATTATGCTAATACTCCTATGTAATCAGTGTTATCAGCCTGCCGATTTTGGACACTAACTGTTCTTATTGTTGGCAGGATTTGCAAGTCAAAGCTTCTCCACCAGTTCAGCCTCCCGCACCTACTATAAATAATGACCCTGCTATAATTCAGGTGATTGTTGGAAAAGTTGTAGGATAATATTGTCTGTGATTTAGAGTCAGTTGATGTATCCTCATCCTCCACTTTTTTTTTTTTTTTGCAGTCCCACTACCCTAGCCCGATGCCAACATCTGGTAGCTTGCCTTCTACTGCGAGCGGGTCACTGCCTGACATTAGTTCTCATCCTGGACAACCTGGACAACATGGGATGGGATTTCAAAACGCAATGCCTTTGTATCAGCCTGGTGGAAATCTTGGTTCCTGGGGAGCTTCACCACAACCACCAATGTATTGGCAAGGTTTCTACACCCCACCTCCTAATGGCCTTCCCCAATTGCATCAACAGTCCCTGATTCGACCCCCTCATGGGCTGCCAATGCCCAATTCTCTTCAGCAACCCCTGCAATATCCTAACTTTAATACCCCTCCACCTACTGGTTCATCAAATTTGCAGGGTTCAAGCTTGCCAGAAGCACCCTCTTCATTGTTTCCTTTTAGTACTAGCTCTCAAATCCTAGCACCTAGTTCATTGCCTTTCCCTGGTCTACCACCTGTGACGCTGTCGTCTAGCCTGCAATCTACACTGCAATCAGCACCATCTCCTTCACTAGTTTCAGAGATGGCACCTCCTTTGCTGTCAAACAAAGCTCCCATTACTGCGCCTCCTACCCTACCTCAGGATACTAATTTGCTTCCCTTTTCTCTATCTACTACGAGAGCCACAGAAGCAAGTGCTGCCATTTCACTGTCTAACAAGCCTAGTGTAGCTACTGGTCCAATTTCTCTGCCGCAGACAACACCATTGACATCTGCTCCTGTTGCGGGAGTTTCTAGTTCCATTAGCCAAGATAAGCCAAAACCTGTGTTGGTTACTCCTGGCCAACTGTTGCAGTCTGGATCTTCTGCAGTCTCTTTGTCCCCACCCTCTACAAATGCCGATAAAGATGTTGAGGTAGTTCAAGTATCATCATCAGCTGGGTTGGAACAATCTGTTCCAGTTACATCTGAAGCCCAACCTCCAATACTGCCATTGCCTTCCTCTGCAAGGCCTACTCAGAAGGTTTTTAACTAACATAAATTGCCAAATCCTCCAACGATTTTAGTACCTCTCTTATTGATATAACAAAGAACCTTGAATTATAGATTAAGAGTTTTTGAGGACTAGTGAACTGATCTTGCATTTGCTGATGTCTAAATTAGTCGTTTTAATCTTCCATGCTATGCCTCTTTTTTTCGTCAAAGATGCATGAAAATCTCTCTGGGTTCCTTAGTGTATAAGAGTTTTTCTTTGCATGTCTGCCTATAACTCTTCATGGTGATAATAAATTGAACTCATTTACTAATTTTTTTTCTCAGCCAAACGGGCATTCTTTCCCAAATCATAATGGTTACAGGGGACGTGGAAGAGGAAGAGGAAGAGGAGCAGGGGTACTATTCTTCTCACTCATTTGTAGAATGTGACGAGGCATTTATTTGTTTATACCAAGGAAAAGATCTACTAGTTTAAAATAGCTCATGAACTAAGCCATGTATGCTAATAATTCTTCTTGTTGGCAGAGATCACACCAGGTAATGAAGTTCACTGAAGATTTTGATTTCACAGCAATGAACGAAAAGTTCAATAAGGATGAAGTATGGGGTCATCTTGGGAAGAGTACCACATTAGATGGTGATGAAGATGATGATTCCCCGATTGTAGATGAGGCTGAGCTTCCTAAGATCGAGGTCAAGGTAAGTGAAGTAGACTTATAATCATGTAAAGCCACCACCATATTCTCCCTCTCTGGTCTCATACACATTGTTTATTGATGTAGCCTGTTTACAACAAAGACGACTTTTTCGATAGCCTCTCATCAAACACCATTGACCGAGAGTCCCAAAATGCAAGGCCTAGGTTCTCAGAGCAACGGAAACTAGATACTGAGGTACAAACTATATATTTCCACACTTTGAATAGCAGACTGTGTTTACTTTGTCCCCTCTCGTTACTGGAGATGCTCAATTTCCTGGAATCTTAAGAGAAACCTATTGACCAACAAAAGGTATTGCTTTGATTTCAGACATTTGGTGAGTTCTCTAGATTCAGAGGAGGGCGAGGAGGGCGTGGTGGTTATGGTCGAAACGGTTATTCACGTGGCGGTTATGGCGGGCGTGGGTATGGCGGTTATGGTGGCCGAGGTGGTGGTGGCGGTGGTGGCTATGGGTATGGTGGACGTGGCCAGGGGAGAGGCGTATCAAATCGTCCTTCCTAGAACGTTCTGCTTTAAAAGACTCAAAATCCAATGGGAGCTCATGCTTTTGAGTGCTTTTGGTATGTGGCAATAAAACAAAAACCGAGTCTCATGTAATGATTTCTGTTATAGAACCCCCCTTGTGTGGTTTTCGAGTGTATCAATTTGATTTCGGATCCTTGTTTTTAAGACATGGTAATAGCGTCGTTCTTTTTATATTCAGTGTTATTTTAAACTTTTGTAGACTTGACATTTGGTGAAATGCTTTTTTTTTTAATCTCAATATTCAATACAATAGCTTGTTGCTGTTTACTGTTTACTGTTACTGCTTGTTTAACAGTTCAGTAACTTCGAAGTCAACATTTTGACTTTGAACACAGTACTAGCAGCCTTGAATCAAATGGGCCTTATTAAGAGAGAGATATAGAGGTCTTTATATACATAATGTCCTCTTTTGTTTCTCAAGACATCATTTTGTCGGCAACTCTGAGTGTACTCTACTGTACTACTTTACTCAACTTTGAAGAGAGATAATAGAATGGGAAGTGTGGATTCTTCAAGACTACCACTTGTCTTCTTTGCGAGACTGTCCGGTTTAGTAGTCGCAGTTTCGGTTCTGTACTGGGCTCTCTTCCTCCCTAATCAAGGACTCAGCTACTCTGTAACTATTATCACACACTCCCTTCCTCGTTGATATCAAATTGGATCTCTCTCTCTCTAATAAAGTTTTATACCTTTGTAGACTCTTCATCCTCTGCTGATGGTGATTGGCTTCATTCTTGTAAGTGGAGAAGGTAGTGATGATTCCTCTTCGTGTCCCTTTTGAAGATTTCCTCTCTCCTTGAATATTTTATCAAGAATTTGGGGTTTTGATCTGCAGCGATTCTGATACACAGATGGTTGCCTGGTTCAAGGAAAACGAAGAAAGCTGTTCATTTGTGGCTACAAGGAGTGGCATTGGCCTCTGCTGTGTTTGGAATTTGGACAAAGTTCCATTACCAACGTGGAGTTTTTGCCAATTTCTACAGTCTCCATTCTTGGATGGGTTTACTCTCTGTTTCTCTCTTCGGTGCCCAGGTTCGTCTTTTTCCTCTTTCCACCAACCAATATTATTTTTATTTCCATATTATAGTATTAAGCCTCTGAGATAAACTTTTAATGCATCATCGAAAAAGAACTAGATTCTTTCCAAGATTTTAATTATTTCAAAAGGTCGGATTACACGTTACTGTCATTATATTTTCTCTCTCTCTCTTTTGAAAGTGTTTGCCATCAATAATGCAAAAAATGACAAAGGAAGAAACTGTATAACCCACTTGGGATTAGTTTCTAATTTGTTTACGGAAGCTTAAGCTGACAAGATTCCCCTAAAAGATTATAAAAACGAATTATTAATTAGACCCACTTATTACTGTCACTTCAACCTCTGCTCTATGTCCTAAATATTTTATTGGGGTTGTCATAGTTTTGACGATTGATAGTGTTGCAGTGGGTGACTGGGTTCATGAGTTTCTGGCATAGAGGAGAAGTACGGACAACAAGAACCACGTTTCTTCCGTGGCATGTATTCATCGGACTCTATACCTATGGTTTAGCCATTGCCACCGCTGAGACCGGACTGCTTGAGAAACTGACGTTCCTTCAGACCAAGAGGAATGTCCCCAGACGCGGTTCTGAATCAATGACTGTTAATGGTTTAGGGCTCGGCTTGGCTCTACTCTGTGGTATCGTTATAAGTGCTGCTGTTTTGCCAAAGTATCAGAGCCATTCTGGTAATGAGAAACTTGTTTATTCATCTCAAGATCGTCCCAAATGTTTGTCTTCTTGAGTTTTTAATTTTCATTCTTTTTAGTTTGTATTGGTTTTGGGGACAAACTACACATCTCTGGTGTACAAAAAGAACAAATTAGTTCTTCCAAAATGTATTACCGCATTGTGATGATGAGACTTCTGTCCAGAAACTTTGCTCCACCAACTTTTCCTTGAATCTGAGGAGGTAAATGAATTACACGTCTTTGGTCCCCAGCTTCTATTAAGAGCTCAGAACCTCCTCTGTACTGCAGATTCATTATGAAAACCAAAAATCATTCGCAGTTCTTAATTCGATATGAACAGAAGATCTTTCCGAGCAATCACATTATGCCATCATGGATGAGATAGAAGAAATGAGAGCTTTACAAGAACTGACGAGTCTTGAGGGAGATGAGAAGTTTTTTTTACCTGATACAGTTTGATTTCCGATTTTTCAAACCCCGGCATGAAAAGAGTCACCAATTTCTTTGCTGAATCAAACATTACTGTTTGTGTCAAGCTGGTTCCATGGCTAACAGTTTCAGAAAGAAGTTCCCGGATACTTGAATTCGCTTGGTCCAGCAGGATTTTGTCCCAATCCAGACCAGTTATAGTAAATGGAACTGATGCAGATGCAAAGGGCAGCGGCACAAAATCTTCTTTTGGGATTTTGCTTGTCAGATGAGAAGAAGAAATAGCAAACACCCCAGAAGCATGAGATCCTGCTTGTACAGTACATCCCCAATACCGTAATGCAGCTTTAACAGAGATAGGATTATTTGGGTCCATTACAAGAAAACTCCTGAATCTCTCTGGATCTCTCCACGCAGAAGCACCGGTCTACAGTTTGCAAAACTCCATATGTAATTTCGTGGAGCTAAATTAGTTGAAGACACTGAGTTATGGGATAAACAGATACCTCCAAGAAACGTTCCAAAGTATCCCACATGGCAGGACTTGTCATACCATCGAAAGGCGACTTATTGCCGCTTATGTTCATTGACTCATCAATAAATCTCATAATGGAAGGACTTGTTAGCCTTCCCAAGTCTGTCTTCTCGGCCAAACTTCTCAGATATTTCACATACAATCTGGAAAAAAACATACTTTCTAAGAGTTGCAAGAAGGGAAAGAAGCACCAGAGAAATCAGAAAGAAAAGCAAAACATAACGAGATAGACCTTGTTTTACTGCTTAGACCTATCATCCGAAGAGTTTCCTCAGTGCTAATACCATCGTAAATTATAACATCAAAAGGCTTCCCCTTGTGGTTCTTTCGGGTTGCTTGCCTAAAGAAACCAACAAGCCTCTCAAGTTCAAGCATTGAGAAGATGGAATCCATACCTGGAAGCACTCCTAGCTCTTCTCCAACCACCTACTACACAGCAACAGCCAAAATAAACGAGGACTTTAAATCCAAAATATACTTTCTTTTTAATCGAAATTCACAGATATGAAGTTGTGTCACATACCTACCCCTTCAAGAACCCCTTGGGTCATATTAAGTCGAGCATCTGCTTGCTTCAGCTGTTTAAGAGGCTCTAGAAGCATCTACAGTGAGAAACCATTGTTAAGTAAGTTCAAACCCTGAACAAGACATAAAGTATACGAAGACATAAAGGGGCATACTTTTGTGGTTTCGAGCCTAATCACAGAGAGATTGTCGTTGATCAAGGTAGGAGAAGTCCCAATCTTGCTTCCAAGGAGGAAATCAGCAGAAGGGTCTTGATTATGTACCACCAAACATGTACTGAGCCCAGCCAATGCGTAATGCTATGAGAACAGCCATTTTTTAAAGACAAATAGTTAGCAACAACACATTCAAACTCTATAGACAGCAAAAGAATCAATCTAAGCAGAGATGAGATCAATACAACACTCAATTCTAAACATTATATGATTCAGAATTCAATGCCGAGGAAAATTCAGGACTTGAGTCAAGATTAATGAATGCAACGAGAAAGAAATCAGAAAAATGTGTTTTTTTTTTGTTACCTGAGCGGCGAAAACAGCGGCGGTGGTCTTGCCGGAGCCACCTTTGCCGAGAAATGTGACGAATTTGGTGGGTTTCTGAGAAGAATCAGCGACGGTATCGTTATCATCTCTAGAAGATGTTGCCACCACAGAAGCTGCTCGACGCTTCCTGGAGAGTAAAGGTGCTTCCGTACGCAGAATGGGAAGGAGATTCAGAGTAAGGCTTGAGCATGTAAGAGAAGAAGCGACCAAAGACACCATTGCCACCATTTTTTTGTTTGGTGTAAAATTCAAAAGATCAGATTGGCCGGAGCTCCACTAGAGCCGCTTGTGATAAAGAAGTGATCGGAGCTGACACAGCGACACACAATTCACGTTTGCGTTCTACTCACCGAATTAATTTAAACGCCCTTCGCGTTTTCAAACTAAATTCTTGATTACATTGTTTTTTTTTTTTTTTAAGTATTTTTAGTTTTTTACCGACATTGACCAAAGAAAAAAAGAATTACATAGCCGGTGAACCAATTAAATCCGCGACCGCGTTGGAAATTAATCACTAATACGGCAACGTTTTGCTGAGGTAGAAGAAGATTCGTTACCTGGGATTACAAGTCTTTCACCAAGAGCCACAGAGTTTTGCGATTGAAAATCAGAGACAAGGAGGAGGAGGAGATTAGGAAGATCGATTTGAACAATCTCGATTGAACAAGATGGTTCGTTTTATTGTTTCTCAGTTCATCTTTTTATTCAATTACTTGTTCTATTTGTCAATCGCTTGATTTATCTTCTGCTCCTTGAGGTGGTAAATTGGGGATAAACCATGTTTGTTTGTTGTTGTAATGGATCCCCGAAGCCCTAAAGTATTTTTGATTGCGATTAGTATGAATCTCTTTGGAGATTTATGGTTTTCGATGCAAGGATTTGGTTCTAGGGTTTGTTTTAGAATGATTTCTTCGGAATAATTTGTATCTTTCGTGATTGTCTCAATCGATTAATCATATGGTTCGTTGGTAATTTGAAAATTTCTGTTGATAACTTGATTCGTTTTGATAATTGCGAGGTTTTAGCTAGTTATCGAAATTTTCTCTATGATTCGGCTAATCTGCCTTGTCGATTATTGAGGATCCTATCTGGTTTTGCATTTTTTAACACTTTTCAATTTGTTCCCTTTTTTATTGCAGTCGACTCTGTCAGCTGCCAGGGCAGATAACTTTTACTATCCCCCAGAATGGACTCCGGATCAAGGTTCCTTGAACAAGTTTCAAGGACAGCATCCTCTGAGAGAGAGGGCAAAGAAAATTGGCGAGGGAATTTTGGTCATAAGGTAGATATATATAATCATATACTATGTTAGCTCATTCTAGTGACTGCCTAGTTCCCAAGTTGTAAGGGAGATGCTACTTTTGGTTGGATTCACACAAGTTGTTGTTCATTAGATTGCTACTGTGATCCATGAATAGAGTGATGAGGCTAAACCTAAGTATAACATGAAAGAACCTATTTTGATGATCAAATGTAACTTAAGTGTGTATATGGCTTGACTTGCTGTCAGTGTGTTTGTATGGCTCCATGTTAAAGTCTATCCCTGGTGTATATTTTGTTGATCGATCAGAAGCTTTGTTTTTGTTACTCTCTTTTAGTTTAATTTTCATACGTGCTTTTATTTTGTTCAGGTTCGAGATGCCCTATAATATATGGTGTGGTGGCTGCAATTCTATGATCGCCAAGGGTGTTCGATTTAATGCAGAAAAGAAGCAAGTTGGGAACTATTATTCTACAAAGGTACTATTGAGAGTCTCTCCTTTCTCTATCATCACTAAAATATGACATCTTCAATTTCTGTTTCTGCTCACAAATACATGTGCACTGCATTCTTTATCCTCTTTGCTATGGAACTGTGGCTGAGGATTTATATCTTATCATGGTCAGATATGGAGCTTTGCAATGAAATCACCATGCTGTAAACATGAGATAGTCATTCAGACAGATCCTCAGAACTGCGAGTATGTAATCACTAGTGGTGCCCAGAAGAAGGTTGAGGAATATGAAGCAGAAGATGCAGAAACCATGGAGCTCACTGCTGAGCAAGGTTGGTATCGACCTTCTTCTACGAGTTTGCTCTTAGAAGCTCTATAGATCTCTCAATAGCTGTTTGTATTTTTACTCTTGTTATTTCTTCTGCCCGACCATTCTTGACATGCTTTGGGATAAACTTTTGCAGAGAAGGGAAAGCTTGCAGACCCCTTTTATCGTCTAGAGCACCAGGAAGTAGATTTACAGAAGAAGAAAGCAGCAGAACCGCTTTTGGTCCGTCTCCAGCGAGTCTCAGATGCAAGACATGCTGATGATTACTCCCTAAACAAAGCTTTGCGTGCACAACTTAGGGTTAGTTCCACGTTTGCAAATTTTTCTCTGCTTGCTGTCCGATTTTCGACTCCTCCTTCTAACTTTGTTCTCATTTGCCAGGGGCACAGAAAACGTGTAGCAGAAGAAGAGGCTGCTTCAAGGAAGCTAGGCTTGGGGATAAGACTTCTTCCAAAAAGTGAAGAAGATATTAAAGCTGCCTCAAACGTGAAATTCAAGACCAAGTTTGATAAGAATCGAAAGGACAAACGAGCACTGATCCATGCATCTTCCATTTTTCCCGAGTCGTCTTACTCGATGTCATCATCGAGCAAGAAGAGAATGGAGCTGGAAGCAAAAAGAAGGAAAATAAGTGCAGCATCAGCATCAAGTCTGTTGAGAGGAGGATTCAAAGCTTCAGCTTTATCTACAAACCCATCAGCAAGCAAGTCCAAGGTTTCATCAGTTTCTGTAAGGAAACTGTAGTTGTAGCAAATGTGCTTGAATCGTTTGAGAAGATGTTGTTTATCAGTGAAAGATGTTTCTACGTTTGGAAAAAAAAAAAAAAAAAAAACTCGACCCTGGCTTTTGGTCTTGCTCTTTGTCAGTTGTCTTATAATAATAGTCGCCAGTCGCATACAACTAGCTCTATTACGAATCAAGTAGTATATATTCAATTCTTATAATGTTTTTACATTCAATAGCACACGAGCATGTATGAGTCTAAGAAAGAAATAATATATATCTTTACGATCGACAATTTCTTGTTTATTTCGTGAATTTATCTCCAAAATCCTAAATAGTCGTTGGATCGATCGATTTCTTGTTTATTTTTTCCTAGTATTTCTGCCTTTTTCCATGGAAAATAAATACTCATGAATTTATCTTTAGACTTAATCAACTTTTTTCCGGTAGATTTTGATAGTTTGTTGCGGAACCAGTAAATATTGATTTTCTTTTTTAAACGAAGAATCTGATTTGGTTTTTTTCTGTGTTTTTGTTTGTAGAAAACAAAATGTCTGGGAAGGATGTGCAAAACCTAACACCTCCAGATATGAGAATGAGAAATATCGTGGAGATGGCGGCACGTCTCGTTTCGAGACACGGGTCGGAGATTGAGAAGAGTATCATGAACATTAAACCCCATGATGAAAGAATCAACTTCAACTTTTTGAAGAGCTCAGAAGATCCTTTACACGGATACTACAAGCAAAAGCTCACTGAATACCAAGATGACACAGATACCGAATTCATTGAGTCACCTGCATTTTCTTCCAGAAGAGATCTTATCAAGACGGTGGCACATCTAATTTCCAGAAAGGGGTTGGAGGATGAAAGGGAGATGATGGACTCCTTTATAAACAAACCAGGATCTTTCGGATTTTTGAAGAGCTCACATCGCCATCACGCGTTTTTCCGGAAGATGCTTACCGAATGCCGTTCTAGGAATCAACAAAATGGAGCTAATCAGGGAGATGATGCTGCTACTACTGATGAGAAAGTTCTTGTTAAGCCTCAGGATCAGTTCATTCTTCTGCCTGGTCTCATGGAAATCTGTCTTCCTAAAGGGATGAAGATCAAGGAGTTTAATACTATGAAGCTCACAGCGCAGTTTGCGGCTTGGTATGGTAACCGTTTTTGGCTGAAATTGAGAAAAATACCTGGTTTCGAGTTCACGAATGAAACTGATAGCAACTTCGATTGTTTCTTTCGGTTTCTTGTCGAGTATTCCAAAGTAATTACGCCCCCAAAAGATTTGGGAGAAAAGATGAGGAAGAGTGACGCTTATGCAGCAGCCATTCAGGATGGTTTTTTCCGTCTTCTTCAGTGGGATGTTCTCCAGCCGCTTGAATGGCGGGAGGGAGGGGTGATGTCAATGGTTAATTGGCATGCTTCTCTCGAGAAAGATTTTGCTAACGAGTAGGATGATGAACCTCAGCCAAACAGACAAAAGTTTGATGAGTCTGCCACCCGGTGATGTTTCCTTCGGGCTCCTACTAGACATGTCTTCTTTTTTCTTTTCTTTTTTAGCTGAGATAGAAGAGAAATGATGATAATTCTGCATCAAATAAAGATATTTTGTATTAGAGAAATGTTTTTAGCAGTTGATCATAAATTAATTTTTTTGCTAAATCTTTAATTTTCCCATGACTGTCCAGATGAAGAAAATCATCGAAGTTTCTTTTTACTTTTTCAACAAGATCTCATTATATTAGACAATGGAATATTTACCTTGTACTTTGTAGCTTGGCTGCTTGGGTTTTGGTTTGGTCATCGTTGTTACTTGTTAGTGCCAAAATTAATGGATTTGCCACAAGAATAGTTTGACAGATTTTTTGGTTTGTCTACTAAAGCATGAATGTCATAAGAGATTTTGGGATCAATATTCAATGGCAAAAGTATGTGAAAAGCACATGAGGAGATAATGATGATGATGGTAAACACTAGTGTTTTTTTTTTGCTTCTTTTTTTTTATTTCTGATATATATAATTTAGTTCAGTCTCTGGAAATTCCACCAAATAGTGTCGCATAATAATATCATCCAACATATTAACCCATCCTAATCTCTGTATTATTAATTATAAAAGTATACTTAATTAAATAATTAGACCCATCGAAGATATCATCACAACCGTTGATCTACACGAAAAGAGTGCTACGATGGAAGTCAATGAAAAGTCGTCGTATGTATGCGAAAAACCGAGTCACACCCAATAAATACCTTCACACTTCCAAAAAAAAACATAAAACTGGCGCCTCTCGCTTCTTCTTCTCCACTTCCCAGTTATTTCGGGACGAGATTTTATTGTCTCCCAAAATCTTTTTCTTTTCTCTCCCCAAAAATAAAAATTAAAAGAATAAACTTTATTGTATCCCAAACAGTATTTGGACTCGAGTTTTGAGAATATCCTTACTTTGAAATATCAATTTTACTTTTTGTTAGCGCCGAGAGAGAGAGAGAGAGACTTGTCTAGGTTTTTTTTCTCCGATTCTGCTTCTCCTCTGCTCTGATCTTTACTTCATCGAGCTCTAATGGCTGGGTAAGCACCTCTTCTCTCCTATCATGTTCTGGATTTTTACTATGTCATCGAACTTTTTAGTTGAGACTCTAACCCTAAGCACGATTCCTGCCGATTGCAATTTCGAAAGAGAAACTAAAGTTTGAATCTTTTTTTTTCTCTGCGTTTGTTTTTATATCAAAATTGAGCTTTGTGATTTTAATTTCTCCCATGTCAAAGTTAAGCGCGAAAGGGGGTTAATTTGAAAATCTGCATTTGGGTCTTTCACTGCTAAGGTTGGGGTTTTTTAAGTTTCCAGTCCTATGATGCTTTTTTCTCCCAGAAATGAGCTTCAATTTCGTAAATCATTCGCTTTCTTATAGCATTTACCTTGTTTGCACTTTATCCAAGTAGATAGATATCTTGGTTTTGTATGGTGGAACAGATTCCATCTTTCAGATCCTATTTGTTTCGTGGGGACAATAGACACAAGAATTCTGCAGACAACATGTTTGGTCTTTCAAGAAACTGTGGATTTAGTTTTTGTTTCTATGTGACCACATTTTCTTTAACCTGTATCTGGGAATGTCACTGGAAACTGATTCTGAACTTTAGATCTATGTGTTTGATATCATCTTTCTGATAGTTCTGCTTTGTGTAGACTTTATATGGAACTAGTGTCTTGACTAATGGATGATTTTCTTGCTGTATGCAGACGATCATGGCTGATCGATAGCAACCGGATTGCAACAAAGATTATGAGTGCCTCGGCTAGTTCCGACCCGCGCCAAGTGGTGTGGAAGAGCAATCCTACAAGGCATTGTCCCAACTGTCAACACGTCATTGACAACAGTGATGTACGTCTGCTCTTTCGTTTCATTTAATGTCTAGTCTCTGATATTATATTTCTATGTTGTTGTAAACACAAGTTTCTTTTTACATTTTCAGGTTGTTGATGATTGGCCGGGATTGCCTCGAGGTGTGAAATTTGATCCATCTGATCCAGAGATCATATGGCATTTGCTAGCCAAATCTGGTTTGTCAGGGTTAAGTTCCCACCCTTTCATTGATGAGTTCATCCCAACCGTCAATCAAGATGATGGAATCTGTTACACTCATCCTAAGAATTTGCCAGGTTAGGCAATACAGGTTTCTTCTTTCTGTTTTCAGTAATCAAAGAAGTTCCGAAATTTATTGTATCTCGCTTACATTGAAACTTTTTAGGTGTTAAGAACGATGGAACGGTGTCCCACTTCTTCCATAAAGCAATCAAAGCTTATAGCACAGGAACTCGAAAGCGTAGAAAGATTCACGACGATGATTTTGGCGATGTGCGCTGGCATAAGACAGGAAGAACGAAACCGGTTGTGTTGGATGGTGTTCAAAGAGGTTGCAAGAAAATTATGGTTCTCTATGGCGGAAAAGCTGTGAAAACGAACTGGGTGATGCACCAATATCACTTGGGAATTGAAGAAGACGAGAAGGAAGGTGATTATGTTGTTTCTAAGATATTCTACCAGCAGCCACAGCAGCTAGTAGTCAAGCAAGGTGATAAAGTTGACCGGGATGTCTCTGAGGATATCTTTGCTGCAATGACTCCAAAAGCGGATCCTGTCACTCCAAAATTAGCCACACCTGAGCCTCGACATGCTGTGCGAATTTGCTCTGATTCTCACATTGCCAGTGACTATGTTACTCCCCATGACTATGTAACTGCCCATGAGGTTTCTCTTGCCGAGGTAAAATTCTGTGTTTGCTTTCTATTGGTAAGTCCTTGTGGTAGTCTAGTGCAAGAGCATTGTGATTACTGTAAGTGGTTTGTACTGGATTATAGTTGTGGTGATGGGTCAGTAGCTATAGTTGAGATGGTTAGCTACAGAGTTAACTGATGAAATGAAAGTTTAGGCAGAGAGAGTTGTGTGTTCAGGATTATTCTATGGTTTAGGTTTGAGATTTGGGCCAAGGGTGGAGATTCACTCATTAATCAAGTATAAGCTCTTGATGAAGTGAATAAAGGAGTTTACCGGTTGGATTATCTCACATTCCTCGGTAATCTTAACAACTTATTGATATTGCACTAACTGACACTTTTTCCTTTGTTTCCGGCACCTAAGACATCTGAGGTAATGTATATGGAAGATGAGGTTCAGAGTATTCAACCTAATCATGAAAGACTAAGTTCTGAATATGAGCCTGAGCCTGAGCCCGAGCCCGGACTTGAAAACGGAGCAAAAGAAATGATAGATGATAAAGAGGAGCAGGAGAATGATAGAGACGATGAAAACCAAGCTGAGGAAGAGCCGACTTGGTTTGACAGTGAATCTCAGTTATTCTTGAACTCGCAACAGCTAGTGGAAGCCTTGTCTCTTTGCGATGATCTCTTGCAAGTGGGATCACAGGACAGGGAAGAAAACACAAACAGTGGAAGCTTAAAGAATAAACAACCATGTTTAGGGGATTACGCACAGCTAGGAACAGAAGACTTCAAACGGGATCTGGAGGAATGTCAGAAAATCGTTCTTGATCCCTCTAACATAGAGCTTGATACTCCACCTGAGTTTCGTCTGAGCCAGCTGGTAAACATAAATCCCTTTCTTCTTTTAAACTTTTTGAATGCAATCAGAAGGTACAAAAAGCCAAATGGGTTGGTTTTGTTATGTCTGTTCAGGAATTTGGATCACAGGACAGCTTTCTTGCTTGGGGCACTGGAAAGACTGACTGACTAAATCAATCTACCACGAGCTCAAGACCTTGGAACTCATTGATACTTTTTGGTTGGCAAAAACGGTGCCACGCTGCTGTAATATGGTAGTTTCCTTTGCGCCTCAAGGGCTTGATTCAAACTGTTTTTTTTTGGTTTTCTTTTGTTTTGGGATTTAGAATAACTACTTTTGGAATGTATTTCTGAGCTAACTTGCAATGTCCGTATGTAAATATGATGCTTTTGATGGGTTTTATGAGTCCAAAAATATGGATGTAAGGATTATATCTAGAATTTCACTACGGAACTCTCGTTACTTGCTCAACTAACACCCAATCCCCACCTAGGCCATTTTAAACGTAAATACAACATTTTTGTGTTTGCTTTTAAATGTTACAGTACTGTAGTAATCACACAAAGCGTTTGGAAACAATCGTGGCTCTAGTGCTCAGTGATCTACGGCGAGAAGGGAAAGATTAAAATTCATATCCGAACAACACGACGGGCTCGTCGAACTCTGGAAACGTATGTATCAAAGTAATGGGCTGGGCTTTGAAGCCCATTAAAACAGTCGATCTATTGTAATCAGAGAAAACCGGGGAGTTGGTGAGTTAGACCGGGGTTTTGTCTATTCTTATTGTAGTGTCTGTGAAGGAAAACGACAAGTAGATGGAGTCACGGATTCTCAGAGCTTTTAATATTTAACATTTTACTCCGGTCGCGTTGGCTGATTACACAGTCACTCTGTAACTAACCACTAACCACGTTGCTATTTTGTTCTTCATTCCATTGTTCATTATAAATCAAAACTAGTAGCAATTTATCATTGGGTTTGACCAATATACATTTAATCCAAACCCCATTTAACAATAAAGTGGGCACCATGATCACAAATTCGGTGGATGAGATCGGTTTGACTTTGTTTGCCAACGAGAACTGAATTTTCAGATGTAGCAAGTGTGTACTGAAAATAAAGTTAATGTTTTGGTTGGGGTTTAGTTAGACTTAGATTTATGGTGAATTTTTAGGTAGTGACTAGTGAATGAGAGAATATTTTGTCCAGTAGTGCATGGTGGCCACGTCACGATGACTATTTACTTCTTTCACTTGACGACGTAGTAACTCTTTTATTTTTTTATTGCCTCTTCTCGCGAGACACACCCTCTCATTTACTACAATTGTAACACTATCTATCTACTCGTATCCTGTGTGTACCTTTCTCAATCCATTTGAAAGGTAACACTGATTTTATTTTTTCTTGTATTATGCCATTGCATAATTTGCATTATTACAAAAAAATAAGTCAAAAACAGAATATTAAAAAGCAAAAAATAGTAAAAAAGCGGCCCATAAAATATAGGGAAAATAAAAGTGTAATTAAAAGTCAGCCAGAAGTGTGTAAATGTCCTTAAATGACTCATCTCAGTCCTCCACCCGCTAATCTCGCCTTCTTCTTTTTTTTTTTTTTTTTGCGACAAACAAAATTGGTTTTTCTTCTTCTTCAATCACAGTAGTGAGTGCCCATTACATACATTATACTCTGCAACTCTCTCAAATCCTAAATTCCCAAAATGCCCTTCTCTCCTTCCTTCTTCCTCTTTCTCTCCTCCTCCTTCCTCCTCCTCCACCTCTCCCTTTCCTCTCCATTCAGTACGTCTCCTTCTCTATCTCTCTTCTCCGTCTAGATCTGACTATGAACTGAACTTTTCCTCTCTTTTGCAGATACTTCTTTCTTCATTGACTGTGGAAGTCCCGAAACTTCTACAGACGTATTCAACCGTACATGGCTTCCTGATCAATTTTACTCCGGCGGAAGCACCGCCGTTGTCTCCGAGCCTCTTCGATTCCATCTAATCGCCGAGAAAACCATCAGGTACTTCCCTCTTTCCTTCGGCAAGAAGAATTGCTACGTCGTTCCTCTCCCTCCTGGTCGTTACTATCTCAGAACTTTCACCGTTTATGATAACTACGACGGTAAATCTCATTCCCCGTCTTTCGATGTCTCCGTCGAAGGCACTCTTGTTTTCTCCTGGAGATCTCCTTGGCCGGAGACTCTCCTTCGCGATGGCTCTTATTCTGATCTCTTTGCGTTTATTGGTGACGGTGAGCTCGATTTGTGCTTTTATAGCATCGCTACTGATCCTCCCATTGTTGGTTCGTTAGAAGTCTTACAAGTTGATCCTTCGTCGTACGACGCCGATGGGACTGGTCAGAATGTTTTGTTGGTTAACTATGGGAGGCTCTCTTGTGGTTCAGATCAGTGGGGACCTGGATTCACTAACCACACCGATAATTTCGGGCGGTCGTGGCAATCCGATGAAGATTTTCGATCAGAAGATTCGAGATCGGTGGCTAGGTCGTTGTCGACGTTGGAGAAGATCAAAGGAGTGGATCAGGCGCCTAATTATTTCCCGATGAAGCTTTATCAAACGGCTGTTACAGTTTCTGGTGGTAGTTCGTTGGTTTATGAGCTTGAGGTTGATGCGAAGCTTGATTACTTGCTTTGGTTTCATTTTTCTGAGATTGATTCTACGGTGAAGAAGGCTGGGCAAAGAGTGTTTGATTTGATGGTGAATGATAACAATGTCAGCAGAGTTGATGTATTCCATGAGGTTGGAGGATTTGCAGCTTATAGTTTAAACTATACTGTGAAGAATCTGAGTAGTACTATTGTGACAGTGAAATTGTCTTCTGTTTCGGGTCCACCGATAATCAGTGGGCTTGAGAATTATGCCATTGTTCCTGCTGATATGGCTACAGTGCCTGAACAAGGTATGTCAACTTAAGGATACTCACTACTGTGGCGTATTTGATTGGAATTCAGAGAATAGCGTTGAGAAAAACTAGTCTGTGGCGTATTTTGAGTCTCTGTTTGTTTTACAGTAACTGCTATGAAAGCATTGAAGGATTCACTACGTGTTCCTGATAGAATGGGTTGGAATGGTGATCCTTGTGCTCCTACTAGCTGGGACGCTTGGGAGGGAGTCTCATGCCGGCCAAACTCGGAAGGATCTGCTCTTGTGATATTTCAAATGTGAGAGTCTCACTTATGCAGACAGTAACCAGAACTTGCTTGTCTTTTCTATTGCACATTGTGTATCCAAGCTGACAATTAGTAAAGTTGATTAGAAAAATATATTCAGAAAGAGCATAGAACTTGATTTGGAAACTTAGTTATTATTTCTTATGCATGCACTGTGGTTTCCTACTATTAATGTTTTATCATGTAATGCTTAATATAGGGAGTTTTCTCATAGTTCTTTTCCTGTTTCAGAGACCTTGGAAGCCAAGGCTTGAAAGGATTTATCAGTGAGCAAATAAGTCTGCTAACAAATTTGAATAGCCTGTAAGTACCAACTATTGACTTTGTTTATTATCTCAGACTTCATAGCTCATTATAATGCAACTGGATGCATGTGTCGGCATAGTGATTTCGCTAGAGACACAAAGGCATTTATGAACTTTTCTTTTGTTTTTCTTGCAGGAACTTGAGTTCAAATACCTTAACTGGTCAACTACCTTTGGGTCTTGGTCATAAATCCCTTGTGAGTCTGTAAGTTAACACACCTCAGTTCATGATCAGTTGCCAAATTTTATCATAAATGGGAATCTTTCGATTCTTAAGAAATAATTCTGGCTCTGTACATTTGTGCTTATTGTTTGCCTATTTGGATTGCAGTGACTTGTCAAACAATCAGCTCACAGGACCAATACCTGAAAGTCTGACCTTGTCAAGCTTAAAGCTCGTGTAAGAAGCTGCTTCATAAACAACCACTTTTTATTTAAGAGACAAGGAAATAATGATAAATGTTAATACATGTTAATATATTAGATGATTAATCAGCAGAGTATGCCTAACAAGGTTTTAATGACAACCAACTTTATTGACGTTAACACAATCTCTGATTGATTTATATATGATGTGTTGTTAGGCTTCTGAATGGCAATGAATTACAAGGAAAGGTACCAGAGGAGGTCTATTCAGTTGGTGTTCATGGTGGAATTATCGAGTACGTTAATGGCGAAAGTCCACATATGATAATAGTCTCTTTTGTTTTACCAGTGACAAAATTTTACCTTCCTTGTCATTATCAATGGCTTTGTTCTTTGGTCCATTATCTCAAACTCAGTTACAATAATCTCCATCTTTTTACAGTCTTTCTGGAAACAAAGGATTATGCGGTGTACCATCTCTTCCGACATGTCCATTATTATGGGAGAATGGCCACTTATCCAAAGGGGGTAAAATAGCCATAGCCATATCATGTGTGGTGTTTGTCATTCTGGTTCTCTTGGTCATTTACTTGTGTTGCATCTGGAGAGGAAGACATGATTATGACTTTGCCCCTCCTCACGATTTAACATGTGAGTAAAATTTCGCAACTTACTCATAGTTGAAGAAGATTTAAGAAAATGCTCGAATCTTGATATCTCTCTTTGTATGTGTGGCTCAGCGCTAGCAGCAAAGAGAAACAGATACCAGAGGCAAAAGTCGTTGATGCTACTGGAAATGGAGAGTCAACACGCAAAAGGAATGCCCACACTTCCCCTGAATTCGCAATAGCCGAGAAAAAGAAATAGGAAGAGATTTGACTTTGGACAGAGCAAGGAGATGAGATGAGGATTAGAGGTTTGTTATGTGTAATTAGTATACGAAGCATTACTCCTCAAGAAGACCACGAATAAACATTAAAGAAGGGCAATGGATCAAAGAGTGTGCAAATATTCCCCAAAGAAGTAAAGAACTCAATCTTCCTTCATTGTAATTTCATTATTTTTGGCTCTCTCTTAGATATATGATATGATAATATTAATTGATAAAACATTCTTACTTACGCCCTCCCCTGTATCTGTGTTGCAATGTAGCATACACATTTGTTTTTTTATTGAGTTTAACGGATATCACCATATGTGGAGGATTAACCAAACTTGTTTCTATAATGAGAAATCTATGTTCTAGTTTTCTTTTCCTTGATGGGGTTGGATTTAGTTCTAGTTTCTTCTAATTAAACAATACTCTTCTTTTCTCAACAAGTCCTTAATAACATGGTAGGCCTTGGTGAAATTAGTCCCAACATATATATATGAAGGTAAATAGTAAATACAGTATTGAGTATTGACATCCACAACAGTGAAACTGAAACATCAGATGATTCTTCCATATAAGAGCTTGGAAAATGGTAAAAAGTCACTGATATCTATTTCTAGATAGGCCACCGATCAGCCCATAACGGCACAGACAATAATTTTTGTGTTCGTCCTCCCAACATAAATGACAGGAACACGGGATTGTGTCTGCGACTTCACTTTAAAAGATTTATTGTGTTATATACCCAAATATTTCATTGAAACTGAAAGAAAAATTACATTGTGATCAAGAATGAATTAATAGAAGAATCTTCTTTTAACAAAAAAAAATAAAATCGGAAGAAACTTGAGGTTTAACCGCAACTTTTGGCTAAGCTGTATCAAATGGTCTCAAAATAAAGTTTTGACCATTATTGTAAATTTAAGAAAGACACAATCTCTAAACATTTCATAGAATACTTGGAAAAGGAAAAGAAATATTCTCTCCTGACAAAGATGAGCTGCAAAGTTTGTCAACTGAGCCCGTGAGGATTTTTATTCTCATTTCACTTGTTGTTTTTAATTAATGTTCTTCTGACTTTTGTAAACTCTTACGACCTCGAGACTTTTCATACTTATCTCGATATCATCTTCTCCTTCTCGAAGTTGTTTGAAAAATTAACGATAATACTATTAAGTTATGTGCTTCATTATGTTTGCAGTCTTGGCTCGTGTATCCGTCTCTCTCGTTTGACTTGTAACGTATTTTTAATTCTTCTTTTAAAGCTTTGAATTGTAAGTTGTCACTAATAATACATTTCCCTCTGTAAATTAAGTACCATTCACACTTCTTCTTCTTCTGTTAATTTACTTTCTTTTGATTTTATGTTTCCACTTGATATTAGAATATTTGACGGGTGGCCAATTGGAAAATGTTGAATATTTGACCCTGGAGCCTAATTAAGCAGCCTAACTGCATGCAGGTCCCGCGTGTTAAGGGTCTTATGTTGTGTAGTATTTACGTCTATAATGCTGATTTGGACACTAACCATACCTCTAATAATCTTATTTCCATATATGCATTTACCTATGTTTCAGTTTATAAGTAGATTTAAGTGTAAGAAAACCACGTCCATGACAATCTTCACACTTCTTGAAAATAACATCAATCACTCATGCATGGATTATGTTATCAATTTATGATATATCGGAGCTCCAACTAGTTGTTCGAATTTCGAAAGAAGCTCAAATATAATATGTATTCAATTCGTCCACGCTATATATTATTTGAATAACTCAAACTTCTATATATATTGAAATTTCGTCTCTCTATAAGTCATAATGACCGGATATGAGGACGCATGTATTAATAATTACTACAACCAACTAATTGATAATTGTCTTCGATTTGAAATCTTTCACGTGATTTGAACTTTCTACGTTAAATGTACATTACAAAAAAAGTATTCTCGTGTTGATTTTCAAATGGAGATAACTAAGCCGCGGTGCACTGATGGATATAAATCTAATCGTAATTAAATTCAGAAGAAAAATTGACGTAACTTATATTATCAAGTACTAATCAGTTGTAAAATATATAGTATTTATTTACCGGACAACGTTTTCTGAAGTCAATAGAAAGCTGTTCGTTGACTTTGTAAAGGCAAAGTATTAAGATGAGTTTAATTTGTTTTTTCATCCCTAATAATGCAAATTATGCAATGAGCAAGGAAAACAGCGAAAATAACACGTTTCGAATGGAAGATATAATATATCTATGATATAGTGCTTTGATTTTTTCTTTTTCTAGCAAATGTGCAATAAGTCTGAGTTTGAAAACAATGATAAATTCTGAAAGTGTAGTTTTTTTTAATTATTAGAGCACCGTAATATCCAGTCGTGATTTGCCATTTATCTAAATTTATTTTGAGAGATATATAATTGGCGATATTATGTATATTGACTTACATAAATTTGGCAATTCTATTGACTTCGTTGACCTCGATGTACGTAAGCTAATTGTCTCCGGGTCTTTTGGGTTACTTAACTCTTTGCCACTCGTGATTAATCTAATACATCATTTAGCTATTGACTCATAAGTTTAATAATTAAATTATGGTTCAGATCATTGCCACGTACACAAAAAGGATTACGAAATCGACATAAAGAAATCAATCTACATGTCAATAAATATTTACTTGTTCGTGTAATATTGCATAACGAAAACCCTAAACTTGGGATATCATCAGTACCCGCAAAATCATGTGATAACTGATAAGAGTTTTTTGTTTGGAGTAAATGCTATAATATGTGATAGTCTATCACATAGTATTTGTCTTCATGGATATATACACACACCCATACATATATATATCCACGAAGACAAAATTTTCATATAAATTAAAACATATATACGCATTACATGTTATGTTATGACAAAAAGAAAACGTATATTACATGTAAATGTGTAGATAGATATACATCTCTGTAGGGTTTAAATTAGGCAACTAGGAGTAGCAAGTAGCAGGAAAAAAAAAAAGCAATCTTATCTTTACAAACTAGATCAGAACAAACTAAAATAATTATAAGAAAAAATACGTAAGAAATAAACTATATAGTTGCTTAAAGAATATAAAAAAAAAATTTGGCTATTTTGTCGCTTATAAAATAGCAAGCCAATTGGTTTAAAATAAATTTATTTGACTTCATAAATGTTGGGTTATGCGTATACCATGTCGGCAGCAGGCAGCGCATTAATCCCACAAAATAAATCCTGTTCAAACCTATAACGGCGGATATTATATGTTATGTATATAGATTTGAAGTAATATCATACAAGTGGAAATATATATATATACTATTTATGAATTTGTTAAATGATCTTAAGTACTTTACAAAACAAAAATGATCTTAAGTAAACAGAACTCTTATTTTTGCATGGTTTGACCAAAATGATTTTTTCATTCAAACATAATTGTTGTTATTAAAGTAAGTAACGTGCAAATTTATATGTGATCGTGTAAAACAGTATTAGCCAATATATATTATATATTTTTGAATAAAATCGTGTGATTTCAAGGTATATTAGTTTTGTCGAAATAAAATAACATGTTATTTACTTAACAATTATTCGAATAATTGTTATAATAAAGAAATAGATGTTTAAATCCAATATCACTCTCCCCGCCCTACTTAAGGTGTTTACCCTAAGAATAGATATTTCATAGTTATTTCAGTAGATATAAGTCAGAAGCTGTCAATTTAGTAATTTACTATGACATTCGATTATTTAAGCATTAAAATATATGCTGCGTTGTTCTTTTTTTATCTGTTTTTTTCAAAATGGTTTCGATGCGATTCAAGTCTAAAACAAAAACAAGAGTGTCACTAAAAGTCTTAAACCAATGGCGAGTTGGCAAAAAAATCCAAAGGCGAAAACAAAGCCAATAATGGGTTTAAGTAATTATGTGGCATTCAGGTCGGATCAGGAGCCGTCGTGGAACGCACCAATGAATTACGATTCTCTCGATAGTGTTCCTTTTACTGGTCAACAAAAGTAGTCTCCTTTTTTATTCTCACATGTGTTTTTTTAAAAAAAATAATTGTTAATTGCTCTACCACTATTCTATAAATATTAATATTAGTAATAGATATTAAAATTGTTTATAGCTTGACGGGGTATTTTCATTCATTTAAAGGGTCAGCTTGTCCTATCTACCTTTTTTTTTAATAATAATCTTCTTCTTATTACGGTACCCAAAAGTATTAGAACATCTTTATTGGTTATACATTTATGGGTGTTTAAAAAATAAATTAATAATAAATTTAAAGACACTCTCATTTTGGAGATCGAAAGTGTATATTTAAAGATACTATCTCACATATTCAGACATTTAAAGACACTCAATTTTATTTTATTTCTAATATATAAAGACATCCATCATAAAATTACCAATAAAAATAGTCTTACTATTTTTTTTTGTAGTGACATAAATAGCTAAACGTTAGCCTATAAACTTAACTAGTTCAATAATATATATTTTTCATTACAATACACAGGAAGTATATGTTAGTAAGATGAACATATATACTTCCATTATATTAATTTTATCTAAACCTTATTATATATATATATAGGTCAAAATCATATCATAAAAGTTGGCCAAAAGATGGCTATAGTGTGCGCCTAAAAGCATCATATTATGGAAAAAACAGTTCCGGCAACTAATATTTTTTCTGTTGCAAAAGACATTTCGCCAACATATTATCTTTTTAATTGATATAAATGGTTGAAATTTGTTAGAGAGGAAAAATAAAAAGGAGGTCAATTGACTTAATTAGTACCATTTAAATCAGCAAAAATGATCAACTCATTACAAATAATTTGCCGATTGATTTTCGTAAAACTTCCCCACAAATTAATCCGCCAAAACACATAAATTAGGTTTGCAATCATGATATTTAAAAATTAGGTTTCCAGTGAGTTGGTTATATATATACTTATATAAATAGCATGCTTAATATCACGTTTCCTTTATTTCTAATTAAGAAAATGTGGGGAGCCACACATTAATTGATTTAATACTACTTAATTAGTTTTGGTAAGGTGGCCTAAGTTAGGCCATGTTATTAAATTACTACTCCACTGGATTTGAGTTAATTTGTTAGGCCAACCTGATTATCCCCAATACAAAAATAATTTGATGTTATTATAGACAGATATATCTGTGAGTATATGTATATATTATTCTCTTAATTATACCAAAATGGAAGATAAGAATCTAAAATGAACGGCTGAGATGGAATTGGAATATTACTAAAAATAGGATGAAGTTTGGGTCCAGATAGAAGAAATGAGGAGGATGGTGCTGACCTTTTCGTACTTGAAAACAATCTCACTCGTTGTCTTCCCACTTGCAAAATTGCATGGCCCAATTCTTCATTTAAACGACACCGTTTCCAGTTACACCAAACCCACTTTCAACTAATTTATGTTATGTGGCAATCTTGCATGTTAATTACATGTATTAAACACATGAGTTTATCTATCTTCCGATTTGTTTTCCACCAAAAGTTATATTACTTTTGATAATAATTGAGACGGACCAACATTGTATTGTATTGTTAGGCAAACTCAAATTACTGTTTAATTTTTTAGATAAAATAGGGAAAAATCAGACAAAAAAAAACAAAGAGCCTACTATTATAAAGTTTCGATATAACAAGGTCAATGATGTGGATGATAACCAATTGCATGCATCATGGTAATGAGACGTGATACAGAAATTTGCTTAAATTTAAACTTGTGTCCGGTATTACTAGATTTAAGATATCTTTGTAAAGTTCGAAATTAAAATATGCACACCAAACTCATATCAACTTTTGTTGTTTGATTTTAAAATCCACGATAATATCAAATCACTGAAATAAACTAATCTATTAATGTCACACATGGACTATTTCATCTTTCAAAATCTGAATTTTGAATTTTCAGTTGAGAATAATTATGGAGCTCTGATGAGTCTGTGACCCACTAATCAAATGGTTCATTGACTAGCTCGGTTTTAAGTTTTAAGTCCTTGAGATCATTATCTTCAACAGAAGACTTATACTATTTTTTTGAAGAAATGATAGGGTTATTATTCAACAAATATATATGCCCTCGCATCTTTAAAAAAGGGGATAAGTATTACTTTTGTTTCAAACAAAATGGATAAACATTTGAAAAAGGTAGGACCAAGAAAAGTGGAAAAATTAGGTACTCTGCTCCGTACAAGAATATGGCTTTGGGCAATACGATGGGTTCATGATTCATCTCCCCTTGACATATGTACAATGTATTATCCTGTTGATCTTATTGTCCCCATTCTTGTTAACTTATATATTTAATTCCAATTTATATAATTGAACAATTATTGTCTTTGAACTCGTTACTTATTGCTTATGAAAACTTATCAAAACAACAACAAAAAAAGTTGACGTTTTAAGTTTTGCATTCAAACTAGGCCAACTGTGTTAATTTGATCTCTGATGACGTGGATATAAGTTTTTTTAATAAATTGTTTGGGTATAATAAATAAATAGACATATATGTGTGTATTAATAAAAGAAGAAAAATAAATGAAACAAAAGAGAAACAGAGGAAAGTTTGATGGTTTAGGACGAATCTGGTTTGTTTAGTTCAACCAATAAAGCATAGTTCTCATGCAAGTGGGAACATCAACTAAGTCTCACCACATTTTTAAATAGTCGAATAAATCTGCGTGCAGTACTCTGTTAATTATGTGTATATAATAGCAAATAGTATAATTTAATAAATGTTATATATGTTTGATGGATCATAGAAGCCTAGAAGGTTTAAGTTTTTATGATGAAATAACGAAGCCACGAAGAACTAAATCTAACCGTTTGATGCTGCTTCTAAAACTAAACAATACATCCCAATATATTATTAGGACGTCATTGATGTATTTCTCTTTATCAAAATATGTGATCCTTACTAAACAAAGTTTCATGCATATAGAAAAAGGACTAGTCACTATAAAAGGATCAAAGATATATGTTGCTTATCTTTGTAAACCCGAGATTAGTGGGCAATTAGATCATGAGTCTTGGCTTTGCTGGCGTATTCGGTCGTTGTGTTAATAATGTGTAATTGATTTGATTAATGATTTGAACGAGGATAATCACAAAGGGAAGGCGTATCTTCATGAGTTTAGTTATATCTTATATAAAACCAAACGTTATATTTATGGGTTTGTAATTCAAAACTAATTAGCAATAATATATTAGTCAATGTCTTATAAATATTATTACATGTCTCAATTTCACACCTCTCATATATGATTCGAAAAACTCACGTTAGGATGGAAAACATATCCTAGTTGAGTGTGGAATAGGAAGACAATGCGTAGGAAAGGCAACAATAAGTACTATGATTCTACGTACAAAGAAGTTCTTAGTGGATAAAAACCAAACTAGGTAAGGACTTGTAGGAAACATATGAGAACCTAATGATCAAGACTCTCCAACTAAAGCAAAATATGTAAAGAGACACGTCATGTTCCAAATATGGTAGGACGAATATAGTTTCAAGAAAAGCCTCAAAGGGGGGATGCACTATTTAATTAAAGAATCACAACAAAACAAAACAAAAAAAGGTCTCAATCTCATGTGAACCCCCTTCCCACTTGGCCCTCTATTCCATCCCCATTTGTGCTATTACACATCGCCCATTACTCATTTTTCTATCTCTCAACGAGTCAACTCTATTCAATAATTTACATTTCTTTCTACTACTATTCTTCTATGGACCATTCGATTTTTGGAAACTTCTTTTCTCTAAAAAAACATCTATAATATCGGACGAAATGTCAAATGTGTTTTTTCTTAGCCGTATTTACCATTCTTAACCAATCTCATTGCCAGTGTTGTAATTATTCTTTGTCTTTTAGTGAAAAATTCTTATATTTTCACTTTTAATATGCATTTGTTATAGCCGCATATTACACGTAATATATTATTAGCTTATTACCATATAAAGGACTAATTATGGCAACAACATCAACAACAAGAGTATAAAAAAAGGACTAATTAAAAGGTACCAAAATTAGTACGAATGTAATAAAAAATAAAAATAAAATAACACTAGTACCCATATTTTTGGACTCTTCCGACGAAACTTCCTCTACAAAACATATTTTGCCATTCTTGCAAGACTTGACCCTACTCGTCTGCACCTTCCCCTTTCTCTTTTTTTATAATTCAATCAATTTAATTTTTATTTTCACCTTTCTTTCATAAATACATTACCCACATTTTACATTTATCTCTCATTATCCTATTAAATTTTCACAAAACAAATATCAACGTACATGCACTTCCTTGTGTATATATAAACTCCAACCCCTTCTCTTCATAAAGCAACAAAAACTTAACCCATTTCTCTTTATTTCTTTCTTTCTTCTTCTCTCTCTCAGAAACTCAAACAAAAATGGATTACAGCTGTGTAGACGACAGTAGTACAACGTCAGAATCTCTCTCCATCTCTACTCCGAAGCCGACAACAACGACGGAGAAACTCTCTTCTCCTCCGGCCACGATGCGTCTCTACAGAATGGGAAGCGGCGGAAGCAGCGTCGTTTTGGATTTAGAGAACGGCGTCGAGACCGAGTCACGAAAGCTCCCGTCGTCGAAATACAAAGGCGTTGTGCCTCAACCTAACGGAAGATGGGGAGCTCAGATTTACGAGAAGCATCAACGAGTTTGGCTCGGTACTTTCAACGAAGAAGAAGAAGCCGCGACTTCTTACGACATCGCCGCGAGGAGATTCCGTGGCCGTGACGCCGTCACTAATTTCAAATCTCAAGTTGATGGAAATGAAGCCGAATCGGCTTTTCTTGACGCTCATTCTAAAGCTGAGATCGTTGATATGTTGAGGAAACACACTTACGCTGATGAGTTTGAGCAGAGCAAACGGAAATTTGTTAACGGTGAGGGAAGACACTGTGGATCGGAGACGGCGATGCAAGGAAACGACGCAGTTTTGAGAGCGCGTGAGGTTTTGTTCGAGAAGACTGTTACGCCGAGTGACGTCGGGAAACTGAATCGTTTAGTGATACCGAAACAACACGCGGAGAAGCATTTTCCGTTACCGGCGACGACGACGGCGATGGGGATGAGTCCGTCTCCGACGAAAGGCGTTTTGATTAACTTGGAAGACAGAACAGGGAAAGTGTGGCGGTTCCGTTACAGTTACTGGAACAGCAGTCAAAGTTACGTGTTGACCAAGGGCTGGAGCCGGTTCGTTAAAGAGAAGAATCTCAGAGCCGGTGATGTGGTTTGTTTCGAGAGATCAACCGGTCCAGACCGGCAATTGTATATTGACTGGAAAGTCCGGTCTAGTCCGGTTCAGACTGTGGTTAGGCTATTCGGAGTCAATATTTTCAATGTGAGTAACGAGAAACCAAACGACGTCGCAGTAGAGTGCGGTGGCAAGAAGAGATCTCGGGAAGTTGATTTGTTTTCGTTAGGGTGTTCCAAGAAGCAGGCGATTATCAATGTCTTGTGACAATTTTTTCTTTTTTTCTTTTTTTCAATTTGTTACTCCTTTTTCAATATTTTCTATTAAATTGGCAAGTTGTAAATTAGGACAAGACAAGAAAAATGACAACTAGACAAAATAGTTTTTGTTTACATCTAATTTAGGGTTTGTTTAATCTAATAATCTTATTTAATCTAATCTTGGTTATAGCGAACTTTATTGCATATTTTTCAACTGAAATATAATTGTTATGACTTATGAGTCTATAATCCCACACTAATATTTATACATTTACTTACATGTATACATTATTGGAGTAAAATATCTTATAAGATCAAAAAGATTAATAGTATAATTAAATGTCAACATGTCCAATTAAAACGTGTGGGTGCGATACGAAAAATCTATTTATGTGGTTGAGATGCTTAAGCGGAGAACAACGTCGATCGCTCAAAGATTTTGTACGTTTCTTAAACTAGTATAAAAACTGTTTTTCGTGTACGATTTGGGAAAAAAACACTGACCAAAATAATTAAGAACATGCACGGAATCTAGATTACGATTTAAGAACCATTGTTATATTTAACAGAAGTACATCTCGAAGTTGATAATTATTTGTCTTATGCCTTAAGATTCATGCATCTTATTTATTTCACCAAGTATAGTTGTGTTTTTAAAAAGAATCAATTAGATGCTACACATATGTATGTGGACACTGGTTCATGGATTGTTTTTCTCATGACAATAACTACAACTTTTTTGTTTTTCAAACATTTACTTACGAGACATGCACTGGCAAGATATTTTTATTCAGTGTAGTAATGTTGAAATTTAGTAAATGAAAAGTACGTAAAACAATCTTCAGTAAAAAAAAAAACGTAAATGTATTTTCAGAATATCAAAAATAAAATAAAATAAAATAAATTATTTGTATTAAGAATTTATCATCGTGAGCAATAGTTAGTACTAATTACTAAAAATTTAACATAATTGTGATAAAGGATTAATCCTTAATTATAAACAAAAAAAAACGTAAATAACTAATGAGTTTCCTGATTAAACATGAAAACATGGTTAAATGTTCTAAAACTAGTTGTTGAATATTGCTCTCGTGACTTAAAAGCCCATGATGTACAAAAAGCCCATGCTCATTAAAAGTCAAACGTTTGTTGATTATCTCATGTTAGCGAACTTGAAACCTAAAAACTTGTGGGTTATGATAGAAATTGAGTTGACACATATAAAATAGCCCAACTCATTGTTAGTTAAATTTGTGACTCATTTTGACGTCTTTTCTTGGTCCAAATTTACAAGAAACATCCAAATAAATGTTGTATGAAACATTCTGATGAATTTCTGAGAGTGACAAAATAAAAAACAATACTAGGCCTTATGGAATCTGAAAGAAGCAAAAGCCTTACAATATCTCGACATATGTGTTCATCGCTCAAACAGTATAACATATTGTATCACATTTATTTTCTTGTAAACTTTTGGTCGAACCATAATAGCTAACTACACATTTTTCAATGTAATTTTTACTATAACATATACGTAGTAGCTCCCCTTCAACATAAACTAAGTAATACGCGTCTATGTTTGTCGGTCATGCTGATGCATAACTAGTTTTCGTTAATATCTACAGTATAGCTATTGTATTAACAAACTTTGCATGATGAGATATTGTAATTTTATGATGCATGGATGCTCAAAATTGTACTCGAGAAAAAAAAAAAAAAAAAAAATTGTACTCGAGGTCTTGTATTATCTTTCCTCAGGTGGTTTGATGCCATTGGAAGGACTTCTCTCATTGGAACATTTTTCATCCTTTCTAGATATAACTTCTTTTTGAGTTAGCAACATCTCAAATTATGCTTATGTAATAAGAGAATGTAAACATAAGAATTTTGTTACCTAGGATTTCAAATAGAAACTGGTATAAATAACGATGTAACAAATAAGTATTAAAATTTACTTTCTTTTTACCGAGAAGCAATTTTTATGTTTAATTTCTCAATAATCCATATTTTTGTGTATTCACATGAATTTTTAATAGTAACTTTTGCAATTGGCGTGTTTACCTAATTAAATAATTTTAGATAAGTTATCTAACTAATTAGTTCAACATCAAAGGAACCAAACCATCCTAAAAGAACCTAGACTATGACAGATATCGTATTATAACTAATTAAATAGACTAGAATTCCAAGCTAATGATATGCCACATCTCAGCAAATTATAATAACAGCAATAGCTAGAAAAATGCTTTAACGTAATTTAGGATCCACTGACTCACCCTAGTGACTAGTATAAGATACCAAAAAATGTTATTGAATCAACAAAGTGGATGCTATTTTATTTTTGTCACAATTTGCTTGGTTTATCAAGGAAAGGCTGACAATCTTGTCTACATTTCCGAAGAAAAGATTCAATTTTAAACCCAAAAATATCTAAGAGATAATTAGCTCACAAGTAAAGATCTGGGATGAAATTAGTTTTTGATAAAATCTTGTCGGGGTCTAAAACAATTTTAATATTAGCCCATCCTCTTTCCATATTTAGCCTCACGCGCTCAGTAAACCGACGAAGTTTTTTTTTGTTTCTTCCTAGACGAATATGGGTGGCTTTGTAGCGTGCATGCATGTACACAAATGTTAACAACGTTCTATCTACGTGTTTATATGTATAAAAATGTTAATAACGTTCTATATACGTGCTTACATGTATTTTAATGTTAATAACGCTCTATGTACGTATTTACTTGTATATACATGTATTTTACTTGTTAATAATGTTCTATATACGTGTTTACATTAATGTTAATAACGCTCTATATATGTGTTTACTTGTATATAAATGTTAATAACTATCTATTATATATATGTGTATATATGTATATATTTACATGTATACATAGATCCAATAGCTTAACACTATAATAACTTTTAACGCTCTATTTATGTGTTTACATGTGTATAAGTATTAAAATCGTGTAATATATGTTTGTAGCGTGTTAAAATTGCTCTAACTCGAGAAACAAACAATTATTGTTAGTTTGGTAAGAGTCAGTTCACGTGTTGAGCATTTAATGTCTGTCAGTTCGTTTTTATTCTCTCCCAAAAGTCAAAGCGTCTGTCACGCGCATATCAAAAAATCAACATGGTTTTTTCGTTATTATTGGGAAATTGAGGGCCATTAGTTACGTGTTTTTTCTATTGTTTGAGACAAAAAAAAGACATTTACTGATTCGCAAATTACTTGCTCTGTTTTTACCTCTGCGCAAAGTCTCCCAATATCTAATATCAAAACATATCTTCTTCATAAATAAACAGGTGATGGTTAGCTGTATTTGAGGTAAAGGGAGGGCCACTTGGCCTTTAGGAGAAGGTAAGGGCCAGCTTTGTTTGTCCAACCTCTTTTTAGAGGGGTGTTTAATTGCAATTTCAAGATATTTGAATCCCATGATATTTATCTCCTGATTACATGGATCACTGTCTTTGTATTTCAAACTATTCGTTTGAAAAAAGTAAGAACACTATTTTCTGAAAATTGTATTTTAATATAGTTATACACTTATACACCTTGTACATTTTTGTTAAAGTAATATAGTAGTATATGTTCAACAACTCATTACCATTGGTGATGAGTGATGACTTGTATTTTTGATATATATAGTGGGGTAACGAATAGTGAAATAATGGAATAGTAGTGAGCTGAACAAAAATCTTGTGAATTATCATGAAATGCTAAAAGAATTATAGATAATTTTTTTTAAAAAATATCTAATTTTAGTATATGATCAGTATTCAAAAACGTTGATCAATCTTTTAAAACATGAACAATCGGTATGTCATGTTAAGAAAAACAATTGCCAAACGAAAAAGGACCAACTATTTTTAGAAAAAAAAAGGTTCAATGGTTAGTTTACAATGATTCGTTTTAAAAGAATGATACCAAAAACTTTTCTGTCTTTTTATTTTATTTATACAAGAAATGGTAGAGAATATCGAAACTTTTTTTTTTTTTGAATTTAATGTTAAATTATATTCAAAAGAAAAAATATACGTTGTTACAACTAGTGCATCGGGAGTTTTGAGAAATTTAAAAACTGAAATTGTGTTTGAGATTGCTAAGATTTATATTCGGCTTTGTAGCCAAGCTTGAAAAGAATATCGAAACTTTTTAAAAAAAAGGCAGAGAATATACTTTAGACAGCACAGTTATCATTAAAAAAAAAAGAATATGTTTTTTGGTAAGGAATCATTTTTCTTGTGATTCTTTAATCAGTTGCATGAAAAATGCCAAAGAAAATATATGCTTCTTCTTTTTTGAAACCCAGAATATTCGGCCACGGGGACCACACACCTCAAAATGAAAACAAACGAAAAATGGAATTTTAGAAAATTCTAGGAACGACCCAGATTATTTGTATTACATTGATTATTTTGAGCATTAAGAATCTGGGTTGGTCGTTATTAATTATTTGATTAATCACCGCCTTGGAAAAAAAGCTTATGCTTTCTCTCTTTAAATGGTCGTTGGTCCTCCATTCCTTCATGAACACGTTGCCACGTGGAAACGTTATGAAAGCGCGTTACTACTTACCACCATTGGACCAGAAAATTCTTACGTCTTTGTTATTCATTCATAATCTTTGTTAAAGTTACGTGTTTGTATTAAATTGCACAATTCCATGTATAACAAATATAATTCACCAAATCAGATGTTGATTTCTATATACACTACAAATATAAGATCATTTTCTGATATCTAGCCATATCAAGACGTTGTCTCTGAAGAAGATCAAAACTCTTACTTTATTCAATTGTGTGTAATGAATCTCTATCGTTACAAATTTATTCAAAAATCTTAAACCTCCAACGAACATTCTTAGTTACAAAACAAATTTATGAAGAAAAACGAATTTTCATACAAATCGTGAACTATCTATGAAAGAGGAAGACGGTGTGGTGTGTGTGTAGAAGAAGATGTTGTCGGCGATTTGCAACGCCGGCTACTTCTCTCTCCCGACAGTGAAGATTGAACCGCCACCGGAGCGTAAACTCTATTATTCGTTGTATCGTGCGACGACACCCAAATTCCTTCCACCACCATGAATTGCCGTTGTTGTGTATTTTCACCACCGTTTGTTACTACCGGAGTAGCTGGTCTTCTTGTGTGCAATCTATATTTCTGTAAATATCAAGAAAGTTGATCAAAATTATAAGTTATTAAAATTATGAATATATGATTAGTGAGAACATAAAATTAAATGATTATATTTGTTACCTGTAAATGGCTTTTAACTTCGTCATTAGTTAAACCATCGACCTTCATGAGATCTCTAATCTGCTTAGGTGTAGCAACTGCAAATTTGGCAATAAACCAAAATAAATATTTACTTGTCGTAAAACTATGATTCGAACAATCAAAAGATTTAATATATTACCATGTGATCCACCAAGTTGTTGAAGCGCGTGCAAGAATCTCCGGTGTAACTCCGGCGACCAGCAACGTCTTTGCTTCCGATTCGAATGAGATTGTTTCTGCTCCTCAAACTCACTTTTACCTCCGACTGTTTCCGCCGTGGAACTAGATGTCGTCGTCGACGTCGGAGTGATTGTTTTTAGCGGTAGAGAATCTGCAGCCTTAGGTTTCTCCTTTTGAAACGGTTGAAACGCACCAGCGTTGCGTTTGACCTCAATTACGTTTATCTTCTTATTAATGACATGATCCTCTTTAGGTTTTGTATCTGGTGATTGGTTCCATAATTGAACAGATCTAAGCCAATCCGATTTCTTCTTATCACCACCGTTATTCTCAGCTTCTTCATCTTTATCGGTTTCATCAGATGAAGAAGAACTCCACTTAATCGGAATAAACTCTTCAAACACGGCACCGCCACCGCCGCCGCACTCACTCGTCGTCCGCTCAGAACACTCTGATTGGCCGCCAACATGTTCCGACGATTCCGATAGCTCCTTCCGACATGACTCGATAGCTATAAGAATATAAACAATTAAAAAAATGGAATCCAGTATAAATAAAAAAAAATATCAGAAGAGGATGTGTAAAACATTACCTTGGGTTACAAGTTCTAAACATAAAGGGAGTTCACGTTGGAAGACTTGAATCTTTTTTTGTTCTTCTTCGAGAGCTTCTACGTATTCGTGACATCTTTTCATTTTCTGGGTGTAATCCATGTCACCGCTCTTGAACATCATCATTATGGACAGATCTAAGATTGGTTTTTTTGGCGAGTCTGAGTTACAAAAACATAAATCTTGAGAGAGAGAAGAGTTTTGGATCTAAAATGAGAGAAAGGATAAAACTTTGCGGATGTTTTAAGGGGAGAGAGAGAGAGAGAGGATTGGTGTCTAATCGAGGTCGGGCCGTCGCGTACCTAAAACCGAATCTTTTTGATGTAAGATTTATTCGGATTTACTTGGAAAAGGGTAGAATGGTAAATAAACGAATAGGATAGGGGTTTGTTTGTTTGATACAGGGAGAATATTCGAGGATATTGGGATTCCTAGCTTCCATTTTCAATCGCATCTGGGGGATGAGCTGGTGATGACGTCAGCATTTCTCATGACGTTGAGATAAGGACGACGAGTCATTTTAGTCATTACTGACTCTTTCTTTCTTTTTTCTTCCCTTATTTTCTCCCTATTTTAGAAATATACACGAGAGAAGAAGAATATACTACGTAACTACCCTTTTGGAATTAATATATGTAACCAGAAAAGCTTGAATTATAAGTATAATTTTTTACATTAAATTTACAATTTAGAATATATCATGGTATCATAATAATAAATTACATGTTTGATCAGAAAAGAAAAAAAAAGAAGATAATTTAGTTTTGGCAAAGTGGAGGAATATTCCTCGAGAAAAATGGCAAAGAGAATCTTTGGAAGAGTGACATTCACACATATCCAGATCTTTGTTTCCTCATGAATTGTTAAATTCCTTTTTTCTGAAATTTGGCCCTTCACGCTATCGTAGAGCCACCTGCCCACACCACACCAACCTACTCGCCTCTTTTCACGCGCGTGTTGTGTGTTGGGTATTCAAGCATTTCTCGTGAATACCTGACATAGTTGTAAATTGGTTGGGCCAAAAAAAAACAAAAAACTTGGAAGAGCATATGCAAGAGTGCATCTTTAAAGATTGATCTTAAGGGACAAAAAATATTAATAATGTAAGAGGAAAGAGAAGGAAAGAAAGAAAAGCCTAGACTTTTTCCATTTCCACATCTCCTGACCAATGACGGCCTGCCACGTACACAAGAACATGGCTCCGAACTGTTCTCGCAGGAGAACGCGTTCCTAGCCCAAATCCAACTTTTCATCAGTTTTAATATTTAAAAACTCTTAGAACAGGGCCATAGTTGCTCCGATAAATATGGTCTAAACGGAGTTAAGCCTCTAATTTTGAGTTCGTATTAAGAAAATTTCTCTAAATAGTTTGGAGATTGAGGTTTTTTGTACTGTGTTGGTTAACAAACTGTAAAAACTAGATTATGTACCAATAATTAATATCAAATTTGGATTCTAAGAGCATGATTATTGGTTGGACTCTCATTAGGAGTCCAAATCATATATAATTGTAAATAATACAAAATTTGAAATTTAGACACTTTGAGTCTAAATCAACCAATTGAAGATATTTATAGGTGTCTAAATGACTTCTAAGAGTCTAACTTTAGACATGAGTCCAATGTTTTCTTTTGTTTTTGATTTAAATTTTAGACATTTTTGCTTTAGATCTCATACTTAGACCTCCCAATAATCATGCTCTAAGAGCATGATTATAGGTGGTCTCTTAGAAATTAATCTTAGCAATATTTAAGTAATTTATTTGTAAAAGTGATTGTTAAGAGATACACTAGTATTTTTGAGTTAAGATTTTTGTGTGATTAATGGTAGGCTCTTAACATGTGGTTCTTAGAAAAATAAATATTAATATAAAAATAAAATTTATAATTATAGAAAATTTAATAATTGTTGCAAATTAAAAAAATTAAAACATACATGAGATACAAAATTTGAAATTTGAAATGTTTTGGTTACTAAAATTTTTAAGTGTTTTGAAGTGTTTTGGTTCATAATTATCGTGTTTTGGTTTAAAAAATTATGTGTTTTGGTTAAGTGTTTTGGTTATTATGTGTTTTGATTAAATTTATGTGTGTTTGGTTTTTGTGTTTTGATTTTGTGGAGAAAAGAAAGATATGGTTTTGGTTCATTTGTTTTGGTTTTGTGGAGAAAAAAAGATATAGTTTTGGTTTATGTGTTTTGGTTTTGTGGAGAAGAACAAGATTAATGTTTTTTTTTGACTAAAATGTAGAGTTACCGATCTGTATATTTACCAACATGTGAATCTGTCACGAGATTTCAAAACATGAAGACTATAATTGAATTTGTCTTTTTGGTCTACACATAAACTAGTTTTTGGATTAAAAAGGGATTCAAATAGGGGATATAAATAGACAATGTGTGCATTAGTGTATTGCCTATACATCAACTGAGATATTAATAGAACCTGCAGATTTATTAACTCTGGAACGGCTCGTAACCTCTATTTTGGCTGCCAATGATAAACAAGCCACAGCCAACAATTGCACAGTCCAAGCTTTTCCTTTCTACAGAAGACTCATAAATCTTTCAAATCCATAATCAAAGAGATTATTAAAATCTTAAGCCAAGGATGAGTTAATATCTGACTTACAGGCAAGTCATGAACATAAAAATTGACTTACAGTTCAACAATAAAAACTATAGAGTATAAAGAGCCTATAAAACTAAGTAAAAATCATGATCACACAACAAATTGAATCATACAATCATAACCACAGAGATTTAGTGTCTAAAAGAAGGAGAAAAGTTTGAAATTTACCATGAAAAAGGAATTAGGAGACTGAACAAGACGCTTGAGCTTGTGCTTCGTCTTCTCAAGCTCAGCAGGAGGGTTAAGCAGATCGATATCGTTTTGAAGAACCTGTTCCACATCAAAGATTCAAGCAAAAACAAAATTAGCTTAGCATTAGATCAATCAACGAGAATTTAAACAAAATCGCCTATTAGAGCTGCCAAAACAAAGCTACCCTAATGATTACAATAACTGAAATAAGTGATTATAGAGCAAAGCCTACACCATTCACAATGTAGCAAATCGAGCAACCAATCTTCTCTTAAACTCAGGTCTATTCATAAATTCATCTCTGGCCAGTTCCTCTGTACCGATTGAAAGCATCTACTTCGAAACCAATCGTAATTTCTCCTATTCCGCATATTGACCAAGTATGAAAAATCTATCAACTTTTGCGATCCAACTAAAACGATCGATGCCTTCAAACACTGACAATTCAATCTTCCAATCTAACTATCACGATTCTCCTTTATCTTAATCAATTTCCGATAACGTAACGGCAAAATCTCCGGTCATGTTCCAAGTTAAAATCGATACCTGATACGAGGCGGATTCGATGAGATAGGATGCTCGTTCCAGCTTGATTTCGGGAAATCGTCTCCGGTTTCTCTCTGTTTGGGGATATCGCGGAGAGAGAGAAAGAAAAAACACACCCATTGCTGCCACGTGGACGCCTCTTAGAGATGTTTTCGTCTCTTAGTTAACAAACGTTTCTTAGTTTTAATTGTGATTTCGCATTTAATTTAATTCATCATAAATGCTAAGAACTAACTAAGGAACTGCCGATAAAGATGCTCTTAGACCATCTGCATTGGGGGATCACCCCCCTGATCTAAACATTATTTAAATCCAAAAAAATGGGTTAATGGGCTTAAGATCAGGAACTGGGCTCTTGACCTGGATCTGTTCTTGTGGGTGTTGCGGGGTGACGTGGCATTTGGGCATTGGTTGGAATATTCAACATATTTGGAATAAATTTGGATAATAAACTATGTATTAATTAGATAAAATGTTTTTGTGCTTTTATTAAGTAATATGTTTGTTTGTTTATTGTTATTTATATTTTTAATGTTTTTTTCATAAATATTTAGTATTGTATTTTCACTTTTATTTTCAGTTTTTCATAAATTTGGCATTTGCAATTTATATGTTATTTTTAAATGTTTTAATAATTGTAAAATTTTAATTTAATTTAGATTATTATATTATTAAGTCTTAAGATCTTACACATGTTCTCCCACTAATCAACTTCTAAACAAAAGATCTAAACACATGATCTTACATTATTTTAACATTATATTCTCTATAAGAACACCCTCACATGATCCCCCATTGATGATGCCCTAAGGCTATGCAATTGTAAAAGCTTACTAAATATGATGGACGATTTGTGGTGGCTATTAGAAGTCAAATTGTTCAAGTGGTCATAAAAAGCGTGAACCAATTTAAGAACGAGATCAAAATCTTAAAGCCAAGTCCATAAGGCAGATGATATGGTGATTTTATATGGATGAACATCGATCAAGAGTCAAGACATAGTACTAGAAAGCTACTCCTAATGTATGAGTACATTTCTAATGACATGACTCTTTTGCCATTCATATCTCTGGAAAGGAAATTTAGCATAATTATGTCTTATTGTCTTATGGGTGGTATGCATGATTCAACATCATCATCCAAACCACTAGTCTATTCTCTTTCCTCTACATCTCAAGTAAGCATATTGAACATACAGTGATCAAGAGCTTTGCAAATACACAATGGGAGCTAGTCCTAGTTATTGATCATTTGTGATGAAATTTCTTTGAGTTATGGATCATGTCTATGGGCATGACGACCACCAACATTGTTTTAGGTAAAAAAATTACCAGGTGAAGAAGTTGATATTTGGTTCTCAATCACTTGTCACAAACTCACGTTTCCACAGCATTACATGGCACTTTACAAATGTGTTCCCTCTGGGTCAATGCTAAACATATCAACGATCGGGAAGAGCAACATCTACGGCTTTGTAGCCGTCTTCTACGACTCGTATCAACTAAGATGAAATATGAAATTTGATCCTATTTTCTAAAAGGCCCATTGGAAAAAGAAAAAGAAAAACCCAATCAAGATATACAAAACTTTTTAAAAAGGCCATGCGGCCCATGTCCAAGTTTCTCGCAGCTAAAATTGTTTATCCACATATGCTAGAATTTTACTCCTTAAAGATTATCAAATTGGTTAATTTCATTTTTTTACGTGATCGACCTTAAGCTGTTGTTATTTTTGGCTATTGTGTCCGTTCGATGAACCTCCAAATTACTATAACTCCTCACTAGAAAATCTGCATTAAATCCACATATATAGTGATGTACTTCATAAAAGATAAAC